TGGGTACTTTGGAGAAACAAATGCACAGCAACTCATGGATAAGAGAGAGTTTTATGTAAAGAAAAGGTGCATCACGAAAACATCCTAACCCAATGCTGCCCAAGCCCACAAGTCCAACATTAACCCATGAACCCAACACCAGTCCACAAAGTCCTCCACCTCACAAAACAGAGGCAATGATGCCGACTGCAGGAGGAAAGCTGAGTCAGTGAACGAACAAGCATCTCAGCACTAGCAGGGGTCTCCACACGGCTGTTCCAGCACCCAGGGCTGCATCGGGATAGATCCATGTGGCTTCTCCTTGGGGATGTCTTGTAGGAAGTCAATCTTGCAAGCTGAAGCAGGGAACTGCTAAGGCAGCTGCACCCTTGTGCAACCATCACAAAACAAGAGACCCGAGAACTAGAAAGGTGAGGCTTCACCACCCATTTATCCCTCCGTCTTTCAATTAGCCCCACAAGTGATTATCGGCCAGGCTAGCACAATTAACTAACTCACCCTCCAATCAAACTGCGACCTGATTAATCCCACATGTTCCTATTGGTCAGGATGGCACAATAAACCTACCTATCACATGGTAGCGGCTGCAACTGAGAGTGGATCAAAAGCCGACCATGCTACTTACTTCCCACTGGCCTTTAGCAGCAAGAGTTAGGCGGTCCTCCAGAGCCCCCCTGAGGAAGGCCAGAGTTCTGTTAGGAGGGCCCTGAACACCTGGGTGGGGTGGGATTTGCTGTTTTCAGTGCACATAGTCGTCATGCTTGGTAAAGTAGAGGACCGGCGAAAAAGAGGAAGACGGTCAAGAAGATGGACGGATGCAGTGGCTGCAACATTGGGCTCAAACGATGACTGTGGGGCTGGCACAGGGCAGGGTGAGGTTTCCTTCTGTTGTGCACAGGGTTGCGATGAGTCAGATGGCTCCTCACCGCCACCGTCACCAGCCAACCCTAGGGACCACAACTCAAGATGGCACCATGTGACGAGAGCGGACGTCAAGTCTTATGTGTTCCTGGAACTGAGCCAAGTCCGTTGCAGGCCTCATTTCGTGTAATCCTCACAAAAACCGGCGAGGTAAGCATTGTTCATAGTTTCCGTTTCAGTGGTGAGAAAACAAGGAAGCCCTTGGGGGCTGACTCATCTGCGGTTGTACAGGCAGTAAGTGAAGGAGCTGGGACCTCGTCCCAGAGGTAAGACCCCACACGCTTCACCATCACGAGATCTTTCCAGCTCTGACGGGTGGGACAGGGCCATGAAGACCAGCATGGCCCACGCTGAGGAGGGAGTTGTCCTGAAGTTGCTCTATAAGGCAAAGAGTGTGGGGCACTGTGTGATCTTCAGGGGATGTGGAAACCCCCTCCTGTTAGCCCTTCCCCGCTCTGACCGTTAGGCCGCACAGTCTGTCATACAGCAATCCCTTCAGGACTGCTTCTGTGGTAGCCACCTGGAGGGGACATGTAGGGGACATTGTGGGATTCACTCAACAGATCAAGTAGAATTCCACTTAGAGAGGTCCTAACACAGAGAATGGAGTTGCTGGGTCGTGCAAGTGGTTAATTTGCTAAGCACGGGTTGGTGGTTGAGTCTCCCCAGAGGTGACTCAGAAGACAGGCCTGGGAGGGATGGAGGGTGGGGGGCGGTTCCTGCTGAAAATCTGAAAGGTCTTTAGATTAGGGATGAAGAGGATTATCTCCACTGAATGCCTACACTCAACGAAAAATAGCTGTCCATGCCACAATCAATCAGGCACCCTTTAGACACCTATGGGAAAATCTAGAACTGAGCATGCTCAGACCCAAGTCACCTAGGCCCAGGTGAAGGGGAACTTGGGCACAATGTTAGGCACCAGTCACATGACATCACATAAGTATGCTTAAACTCAGCCTATGAAATCGGTCAGTACCCTCAACCACGCCTCCCCAGCCAGTGGGGACAGGAGGGGATCAAAGCCGACTGTGGGCAGGCGCCCTCTTGTTCTTCTCTTGTTTAGGTGCGCTCTGCAAGCAGAGGGCGGGAGTCTCTCCTGTGTGCACAGCACGTAGCCCCTGTGGGCACTCTTGGGCGGCATTTCTCCTGGCCTCTGGGGATTTCCTGCCCTTGATTCTGCTCCTGTGGTTTCGTGCTCCTGTTCCGGTATTTTCACGTGGTTTTTCAGGCGCCCCTGAAGTGACCACCTTCAGTTGTGCACGCTCTTGTGGTTCCGTGTGGCCCTGCACACTTTCCAGAAGTAGCATGTACTTTGTGAGACTGTAATACCGAAACTTCCCCTTCCCTCATAAAAGTTACTTGAATTTACTAAAGTGTGTCTGCCGTGTGAATTCTTTCAGCGTCAGGAAGCAAGGACCGAGGCAAATCACCCCAGAAACCTAACAGCTCAGTTCTACTCTGACACCCAAGGGGGCCACCATGAGTTGGAGCTGACTCAAGGGCACCCGGTAACCCAGAGAATACTTTCCCTGGGCTCCCTTCCTATCGAGCTGACAGAGAGGACTGTAAGGAGAGTTGCTGATGAGACTCCAGGAAGGACTTGCTGGCAGTGAGAGTTGTGGCCACTCCAAGGGGAACCTCAAAAACATCTCCCTTGGGGACTCCAAGGGCAAAAGCCAGTTGCTCAATTGGAACGGTTTCTGGGAGCTTCTGTTAGGAGGTGGGAGGATGTGGATGCTATGAGCCCCAGAGTCCCCCGCCCTCAGCCACATGGGCACCTGACACTGCAGCTGGCTCACACCACGGCCACCAGCACTGTCCATATTGGACTTCAGGCTGGAGCCCGTGGCTGAGTCCACGATCCGCAAACGACCCTGCTGCAGGGTGTCAGGAAGGGACCCACTGGCTGCAAGAGGCCGGAGAGAAGGCGGCGTGACAAGGACACATGGTCTCCCGAGGGAAGCAGAAGTCATGGGCACCCACCCTGCTTTCTGCCTAGCACTCCTCGTTCTGGCCCTTCTATAGTGTTACAGTGAGAGCCGCCATGTTTGCCCATACTCCATACTCGCGGCTGATTGGTCAGTGTTCTAGTCACTGATGATTGGGTCAGCAGTGAACGTCTGACTCAGCTAAGCCAATCAGTTTCTTCCCTTGGGAATTTGGGGATGGGACAATGCTAGAGAAGATGTAGACGTGGGAGCTGTTGGCCTGGACTGCCGAGTGCAGTAGATTCTTCTGGAAGAGACCCTCAGAAAGGTTCCAGCCCCTGATTCTAGGCTGTTACTGAAGCCCGTTCCATCTCCATCCTTGGGTTGCGTTCCTAACAACAAAAATGGAAACTCTCCGTTTGCTTAGCCAGGTCCGCGAGACATTGTAACTATGTCCAAAAAAGTGACAGCGCAGCTTCTGATTTTTTGCGGTTCCTTATTGGGAAGCATACGTCAGTTTGATCCAGGCACCAAGCTGATCCCATTGCTGTTAAGTTGATTTCATGTCCTCCAAGACTTTGGGATGAGTGGGGAGAGAAGCCCTCCTCCTGAGGCCTGACATGGTCTCCCTCCTCCCTCCCTCTGAAGTCTTAGGGGTGGAGGGTGATTGGGTCCCACTTACCATCCAGCTTTTCTCAGCTCACGGCACAGCCCACGGTGCTGCCGGAGGTGGGTGGGAGGCTGCCAGCTGGGCCTTGGCACTCAGGGAGACAGGCCTGGCCAGTCGGAGCAGTGCGATGTCATTCCTGGGCCACGAACGAGGCAGCGCATTAGGACGGTGTTCACTTGTCCTGCCCTGATTGTGTTTCTGATTCCAGCCCCGTCTGGGATGACCGAATCCTGTCTCCAGCAGCCTGGTCTCTGCGGCTTCCTCTTCTGGGAGCTCAGGGGGACTGAGGAGGAGCTGTGGTTAACACGGCAGGAGTGCATTTGGTCCCTGGTGGAGCGTGCAATCAGTCCTTAATTCCTGTAAGTCCTTCGTGGAGCAAGTTCAGAGCAGAGCTGTCAAGCCGAGTTTCTCGGGCGATGTCCCCTCTGATGAATCAGTCGTGGCTGCCTGGAATGCTGGGTTGACAAGGATTCTGAGGCTCTGCAAGAAAACAAAACAACACAAACCATCAATTGCTTGGCAAGGTCTGTCTGCCATGTACTTCCTGTGTGTGGTGGAGAAGATTTGGCAGACCGGCTCCGATCCCGTGGCCTTTGTACTTTTAGTCTTTCGCCACTCCTTTCCATCGTCAAGGTGCTGCCAGATTCATCCCCGAGCCTTGCTGGGTGCTCAGAAAGCCCCCAGTGGGTGCGCCAGGTATATGCTCTAAGAGCCGCAGCAAGATCTCCCATCCTTCTCACAATGTGGCGCCAACACTCTGATGCCCATCAAGTGGCGGGGTCTTCTCTTTCTGATTCTTGAATCTGGGAGGGCTTGTCGTTACGACATTTTGTGACTTCAGAGTCTCGGTCGCAGGGGGAGGTATAGCTTCTGCCTGGTCTCCTGGGATGTTGGCTCTTGGAACCCAGCCTCCATGCTGTGAAGAAGCTGGGGCCACCTGTGGGGGATCTGGGCAATAGTCTCTGAAATACATGAAGAATCTTTGAAATGATCCAGCCCCAGCCACCCTCTGACAGCAGCCTCATGGGAGAATCTTGAGTGAGAGCCAGCCGGCTGAGTCCAGTCAGGATAGTGAGAGATAATTATAATAAACAACAGTTGCTGGTTGTCATTTGAAGCCATTAAGTCCTTGAATAATTTGTTCTGCAGCTACAGAGATCAGGACAAGTGGCACTCATTGATAGGACAGATATTTAAGGTCCAGGGTTGACAGCCTTCTCAGTTTTAAGGCACCATCGTCACCCTCTCTCCCATAATCTCCTCCATTGGGCCTCCTCTCCAGCTGGACTGCCCATCACTGCTCCAGCACACACCTGCCCCATTCTATGGCAGGTCCCTTGTCCTCTCAGTGCCCCTAACATGAAAGGCTCCTCCCCCAGCTGTCTGACCCCACCCCCACCCCCTGGCACATCTCCTGTAGTTCATGGCCCTCCAGTGTGTCATGTGTGTGTGTGCCTCAGCAGCTGGCAGCAACTGACTCACGACCCCGGGGCCCCTCTGAAGCCGCCATCCTCCTGGTGGACAGCACAGGCCCTTCTGCCTGCTTGCCGGCTGAATGAGCGCATGCCCAGTGTGACAGCCAGAGCCACACGGCGTCCTCCAGCTCTCCGTCTCTTGGCGGATTTGGCAGAGAGCTCCTGGCAGCACTCCAAGAGGAGCAGGCTGGGCTGCGGAAGAAGCCACATGCATGGGCAAATTATGCAGGTTGGAAGTGATGGCGGTGGCTTCTACCTAGAGACCCTTCTGGAATATGGCAGACCTGCTCTTTTGGAGTTGCAGAGGGAGGAGGCTGGGCAGTCCTGGGTTCCAGAGAGATGAGGGAGAAGTGAGGCAAGGGGGGTGATGCCGTCAATCTCCAGTGGAAAGATGATGCCAATGACCATGGTGGGATTGATGACGGTCAAAGCCAGCTGAAGGCCTGCCATGGCAAGTGCTACTCTCCAGGCCTGTGAGCTCGGGAAGCACCAGGGCATCACCAAGTCTCGACTTCCTCGTCTGTAAAATGGGATTCATAAGAGGACCACCCTCTTCGGGCTGGCGCGAGGAGTAAATACAATAAGGCACAGGAAACATTTCCCACAGTGCCTGGCACCAGGACACCCTGACTGGCTGTGGAAACTGCTGTGTTGACAGAGAGCTTATTGGGAAGGCATGTGGGATCACAGAGTTTCTGGCATGTTGGACATCTCTGCATTATCCTAAGAGAAGACTTGAGTTGCGTTGCTGGAGGACCTAGGCTTGTGGGATTAGCAAGGGGAGTTGTTCTGAGCTGCAAGGACCTGCTCACGTTTAGGGGTTAATCTAAGCCTCATGGGCTGGGGACTCAGATGTCTTGCTCACATGGGTTCCCCTAGTGCAGTGGTTCTCAAACTCCCAAACCCTTTCATACAGTTCCTCATGTTGTGGTGACCCCCCCAACCATAAAATTATTTTTGTTGTTGCTTCATCACTGTCATTTTGCTACTGTTATGAATCAGGCAGCCCCTGTGAAAGGATCGTTTGAATCCCAAAGGGGTTGAGACCCACAGGTTGAGAACTGCTGTCCTAGTGCCTTAAACAGAGCTGGGCACACAGTAGGCACTCAACAGTGAAGAGGCTATTGGATTTGGTTGAATGCCCTCTGGATCTCAGATTAGCAGGCACAACAGAAGCTTTGTGGTAGCTACATAATTTCATGTTAACTTGAGAAATAAGTACAAGGGTGGAGTCTAGCCTGTCAATCAGATCATAGATTGATGATGCCTCCTTGTGGGTGTGGCCTTCTCATGAGGATTCTGGGAACTTCCTCTCTTTCTCCCAGGACACTCAGTTTTTGGCCACTAAGGCCCCTCCACAGTGATCGTACTGCTGGCTGAGGAGGTTGTACTGCTGGGAGACCTGGCTGCCCGGCCTCTGCCTCTGCCCAGCAGCATCTCTGAGGGCAGGGCTGGGGCGAGGGGACATGAGAGAGGTGACATTCATTTTAGGCTTACAACCCCATAATCAAAATAAATGACTATTTTTCTACATTAAAAATTAATTTCGTTTGGTTCTTAGTTGTTGAGAATATACGCAACATCACACACCGTTCCATGGTTTCTGAACATACAATCGATCACCCCTTCACCTGGTGCGGCCATTCTTCCCCTCCAGCCCTATTCTCCTGGAATCACTGTCCCCCCAGTTTCTCATCTCATCTTTCCAGTTGCTGTGGTCAGCTTGAGCCAACACATCTTAAAAGAGCACAATGCTCAAGGGGAAGTTCTTTAGCAATTGAGTGAAACTATTGTTTGGTTTAAGGAAGACTTCAGGGTTTAAGATTCAGAAAGCCCGGATTCTATGAGAATTTGAAATTCTGTTCTGCACTTGGCCCCTTTTCTGGTCAGTATTCCTCTTTGATCAACACACTCAGTAACAGCTGGGCACCATTCAGTTCTGGGTTCCTGGCAAAGGGGGCAGCTCTTCATGGGGGCAATGAGTCACACAGCTCATTTCTTCTGCCTATCCTGGGCTCTCTTCTGTCCCCTGTTGTTCCAGGTGGTGGAGACCTTGGGATAGTACCGCGGATGGCTGCGTGCAGACTTTCAAGGCCCCAGGCACTATGTAACCATCTAGGACAGTGGTTCTCAACCTGTGGGCCACGACCCCTGTGGGGGTCAAATGACCCTTTAACAGGGGTCGCCTAACACATCCTGCATATCAGCTATTTACATGATGCTTCATAACAGTAGCAAAATTACAGTTATGAAGTATCAACAGAAATAATTTTATGCTTGGGGGTCACCACCACATGAGGAACTGTGTGAAAGGGTCACGGCATGAGGAAGGTTGAGAACCACTGCTCTAGGAGGTAGAACAGAAGCAAAGAAGGGAACACAAGTGTTAGGTCAGCTCATTAGCATGTCCCTGGAACCCATGACCCTGAATCCAAGAAACCACATCTCAGACGGAGTTTGGTTTCACATCAGCGGCTTCGGCAGCCTCTCTCTGTGTAAATATGTCTACCATGCAATTCAACTTTATCCGTGTGCAACTCAGGGACATCCATTACATTAACTGGCTAGGCAACCCCTGACCTTCATTTATGCTATGTTTCCATCACCATAAGCCCAAACTCTGCCCTCCATAAACAAAACCCTCCTTTCCTCTAGTTCCCTCCCTTGCCCTAACCACTAATCAACTTTGGTCTGTACATAATTGCCTCTCCTTTTCCTTCTTTATCTGGGAGGTCGTTTGTCCTTTTGTGAAGAGGAGAAATCGCATCCGATGCAATATCTGAAAGATATCCAAATTCAGGGGGAAAACCCCTGTGATACCCAGAAAAGCAAACATTTCAGTAAAGACGCTATTAACAAATACTGTTCTGAAGATCTTCCTGCTATTCTGTTTGTTGGGATTTCCCCAGTTTGGGAGCTATTTCCTCAAAATGAATGCCTAAAACTGCTCGATGATCACCCACCAAACCCTGCCCTTCTTTGCCTCAGTAAATGGAGACCTTGTTTTATTAGCTGCTCGGGCCCAAAGCATGGTGTCCTCCAGGGGACTGGCCTCTCCTGACAAGGTGTCCAAAGTAGGTAAGATGAAGTCTTGCCGTCCTTGCCTCTAGTAAGGTGACCAGATTTTAACATTGGTAAAGCGGGACAAAAGCGGGACACCATTGATAATACTCATATCTTGGCGAAATAGGCACATGGCAGCTGAAAACCCTCTACCCTAGCTTGTCGTGCATTTTTTAAAACGCCGCGGGACGCGGGAAAAATTGTTAAAAATCGGGACTGTCCCGCCAAATGAGGGACCTCTAGTAAGGTGACCAGATTTTAACATTGGTAAAGCGGGACAAAAGCGGGACACCATTGATAATACTCATATCCTGGCGAAATAGGCACATGGCAGCCGAAAACCCTCTACCCTAGCTTGTCGTGCATTTTTTAAAACGCCGCGGGACGCGGGAAACATTGTTAAAAATCGGGACTGTCCCGCCAAATGAGGGACGTCTTGTCACCTTACTCTAAGGAGCACTCTGGCTGGACTTCTCCCAGACAGATCGGTTTGTCCCTTTAGCAGTCCCTGGAGAAGGACATCATGCTTGATAAAGTGGAGAGGCGGCCAAAAAGAGAAAGCCCTCAACAAAATGAATGGACCCCGGGGCTGCAGCAATGGGCTCAGGTATGGGAATGCTTGCGAGAATGGCTGGGGACCACGCAGCGTTTCATTCTGTGGGGCATAGGGCCGAGTTGGGTTGGAACTGACTCAATGTCACCTTAACCAACAACAAACAACAACAACAACATGCCAAAAGCTTGATGTCCTCCTTCTCTCCCTTGAACTCCTCCCCCAAACCCGTCGGCAAATCCTGCCAGCTCAACTTCACAAGATGTGAAGGTTCTACCCTTCTTCCTGCTACGGATGCTCGGCGGTGTCTGGTGGGATTGTCACTTCAGCTTCCTGTCGGTTTTCCTTACTCTCACCCTGGCCCAGCCTCCAGCCCAGCTTGTCTCGATGCTGCCCAATGTATGACCTGCGCCACCAGGGCTTGCTCTCCTTCAAAGAAATAGAATTGTAGCTCATCTATGATGGAGGTGGTCTTAGGAGAAACGGTGAACCAATTTATATTTCTTGTTCCAAATTAAAATTTAAAGTCTAGAGGTCTGATTTTAATCATGACTCTACAATCGACCGTTCAATTACTCAGTTGCCCAATCCTGTCGGAGAAGAGAGCCTTTATTATATTTATATCTGCCAACATGAATTTCTCACATACATTTCCTTTGAGAGTCCTAGTATTAACAGATCCTTATAATTTATGCCTGTGTCCCACCCAGCAGTACCTTTAAAATACCGTATCATCATGATTGTACTAAAATGAGTGGCTGGCTTTCTTTGGTAACGTTGACTTGCCTGTAGTTAAGGATTCATTTCTGTAGGCAGCATTGGTATTTCTGAGAGCAAGGAATATTTCCATAAGATAGCAGTAGGCAAGATCCCGATCTGATACAGAATATACTTGTGACTACGTGGGGAGGAGTGGTGGGTGGGGTGGCTCCATATTTAAGCTGGCACTTTTCTAAGTGCCTTCTAAGCCTGGTCAAGGTCATAGAAAATTATTTTATTGGTGGGCTTTCCCAACCTGCCCTCTGACACCACACCAATTCTCATCTTCGCCCGAACCATCAGACCCCATGGCGGAATGACAAGGGTGATTCGAGGAGCTGCCAGGGCCAGCTGTTGGGCAGCGCATCTTCACTTCCAAGCACCAAGGGCAGCGGAGTGTCCACAGGTGAGTGATGTGAAACAAGAAAGCTCTGTCAGTTCAGGAGAGGTGATTCAAACCACGTCACTTCTGCTTGTCGCCTTCCCCACCCCGCATAAACCATCCTTGTTCTGAAAGGATCCCGAGGTTTCCTGTAGAGTCCTGTCCTTTGCTCCACTTATTTGGAACTCTGACTTCCTTCCCACCGCAGGAGTGGGCTGGGTTGGGATAGAGAGGGATCCCACTCCCCAGTCCCACTAGGGGACTAGGAAAGCAATGCACCTGGGTGACCGGGCTGCCCTCCAGCTCCCGAGGCCGACAGCAGGACGACCTGGATGCTGTGTTCGTGGCAGTCCTGTAAGCAAGGCCCAGGCCAGGTTCTGGTTTCAGGAGAAAGCTCATCAGTCAGAGACAGACAAGGAGATTTTCTCAAAGCCC